TATAGAGTATATTTCTTCTTAACAACATCCTATATTATTAAGGAAAAAAGCTTAAATACTTAGCTCTCTGTGTAACTCTAATTTTCCCAAGACTTAAATAAATACAGAGTAAAATTAAGCCCATTGATACTCTTCATTCCAGGTGTGCTGAAAGAAACTATGATGTTAAAAAATGACTGTCGGGCCGGGCGCGGTGGCTCAAGCCTGTAATCCCAGCACTTTGGGAGGCCGAGGCGGGTGGATCACGAGGTCGAGATCGAGACCATCCTGGTCAACATGGTGAAACCCCGTCTCTACTAAAACTACAAAAAATTAGCTGGGCATGGTGGCGCGTGTCTGCAATCCCAGCTACTCAGGAGGCTGAGGCAGGAGAATTGCCTGAACCCAGGAGGCGGAGGTTGCGGTGAGCCGAGATCGCGCCATTGCACTCCAGCCTGGGTAACAAGAGCGAAACTCCGTCTCAAAAAAAAAAAAAAAAAAATGACTATCTTATCCTAAGAGGTAATATTTTAATAACTAGTATGTAACATTAGCCAGTCTTGTGGTAGAATAAACTAAAAGCTAAATTACTAATATTTCTAATATAAAAAATATTTAGATAACACGTGAGCGAGACAGTGTAGGAGCCATCTCTGAAGACGGTATCAGATGATATCCGTATTCCTGTGCTGTCCCCATCACATTGACAATTTCAGGGCATCCATAGTACCATTAACCAAATGTCTTTGATGACATGTAAGCACATTGAATAAGGTTGCCCCATGTGACCAATAACATATTACAGATATGACAGAACATGGCTTCTGAAACTAGGTTATAAAAGATATGGCAGCTTCTATTTAACTCTCTCCTGACTCCCTAATACTGAATGAAGCTCGTTGCCTGTGATGACATCCATGTGGCAGTTAACTGAGTCCATCTGCCAATAACAAGAACTACTTGCTGGGCATGTGCGTCAGTCATCTCAGAAGCAGATTCTCCAGCCCCAGTCAAGCCTTCAGATGACCAGCACCAGTTGACATCTTGACTGCAATCTTATGAGAGACTCTGAGTGATAATCATCCAGCCAAACTGCTCCCGGATTCCTGACCCACAGAAGCTGCTTGAGATAGTAAATGCTTATTGGTTTTAGCTGCCAAGTTTTTGGTTAATTTGTTACTTAGCAATAGATAACTCATAATGGCATCAGATACGAGGGGAAGAACATGGGCTGAGAGGTTATCACATCTAAAATGTCTTGATGGTGACTTAAAACTGAGTGCTCTTCAGGTTAGTCTCTTGTGTCTCAGTTTTGTCATCAGTAAACTGATGATAATGTTATCTCACAGAGGTCTGAGGAATAAATGAGATAAAAGAATTCAAAGAACTTGGAAAGTGTTTTTTCCTCAGTAAGCATACGTTTCTTTCTTTTCTTTAAATTGTGCTTAATTTTAGAGTCTTTCTTTTAAGGGTTTAAAACTGATTGCTCTCAGCAGACAGAAATGGACTTTACAGGATGTTGAAGAACTGCTGGCAGAGATAGGGCTACGGATGTTCAGGCACTGCCTCTGTTTTTTGTTTGTGTTTACTTGTTTATGTTTATCTTGATGAAGAGCTGGCATTGAAGATCTTGATTTAAGGGAAATGAATATTTATAAACATTCCTTACCTACAAGTAAAGCAGTTGTATAAGTTAGTTCTGAGTATTTATGTAAGCCCCAAAGCATAAAAGATCTCTAGGAAACAAAACTCTAGATCTTGCAGATATAAACTCTATTCCTCTCTGATAGGGTCTCTGACAGCTTCATGTTCCTAAAGACCTCAGAGGTCAAGAAGACAACTAAGAAATATGCTGTATCTGTTTCTGCTGTGTTACTCATGACTCCATTTTTCTGTGTCGTTGACTAAATAAATTCAGAAATTATAAGTGAGTGTATGTGCAGTTTCTTATTTTGCAAATCCATAAACAACCTGAAATGCTTTTACCCTTGGTATTTCACATTGACATTTCAAATTAGTTTTGATAGACTCTCAAAGGCCTTGACCTACACTAGGTGCCATAGTATAGGGGTTAAACCCTTGGACTCTGCATGACGATTTGTAAGAGTTCCTGGGTTTAAATCCCAGGTCTGCCATAAACTGTATGAACTTGTGCAAATTACTTAAAAGCGTTCTATGCTTTGGTTTCCTCAGGCAAAAGTTAAGAATAATAATATTTACCTTACAGGTTTGTTATAAGAGTAAAATGGGTAAATATTAGCAACTTAGAACACTACCTGTCAAGTAGGCGTTGGCTAAATAGATAGCTTTTTATTTTGATGAGATAAATAATTGAATGGCCTGGGCCTTTATGGTGAATCTACGTAGTGAATGCACCCATTCAGCAACCAGAATCCTCGCTTTCCTACTCCCTGCATATGCTAAACTTTGCTTTACTTTAGTTTTGAAAGGAAATTATTCATTACCATGATATTTGAGAATTTGAGTATTTCCTGAAATGTAACCCTAAAGATGATAAATGTATGTTTCACTCTGAACTGAAAATATGTTTGCCTTTCACACGTGCATTTTATTTTCACAGCTGCATTTTTCTAGGTGTGTGTGTTGGGGAGGACATTGATTGGGGAGAATCAATCTACCTTTTTCTTTTTAGCAAATGGTTCTGAACTCCTTTGAAAATCTAATAAAAGCTGTAGTCCATCTGTACAGCAGGAAAAAATAATTACTGAAGCTATGATTGTGGGCACCAATTGGTCCTTTCCTATATTTACTATAGGCCAAGAAAGTGGGCTGAGGATTATTGTAGCTTTTTTTTTTTTTTTTTTTTTTTTTTTTGACAATGGTTGCTGAATTTAGAAAAGAGAAAAAGAGAGAGCAGAAAAGAAAATCCAGGACATTGCTTCACAAAGCATTGGAAATAAAATGGCCTTTAACAAAGGAGCTCTGATTGGTAGCTTTTAAGAAATTAATGACACAAATTAAAAATGACTTTGAAAGGTATGTAAAATAGTCTGTGAGTGTTATTTATACAGTGTTTTTTAGAGAACCAGCGATCTGGGGGACTCCTGCAATGATGTCCTAATTTAGAGGAAGGCTGTGAGCAGGTAGAATTGAGGTGCCATTTAACCAGCATCTAACAGAGAAGTGCTGTGTTCATAAATACACTTCTTGGGCTTCCAAATAAGACTGTACATGAACTATGACTTCTATAATTTACAAAGGATTGACAACCACTTTTCTGGATATTTGTCCATATAGATAATTACAAACTGAAACTTCTCAACCTGGGCTATCAAAATCTGAGAAAGGTTATATTGGCAGATATATGATCTTGTAGAGTGAAATGAGAGTGACCACAGAACAGTTTATCTAATTCTCAGTACATAAAAATATGGAGTCTTCCACCAAGCTACAAAGAGGCAGATTTAGAATTAGTAAAACATATAAATTAGTAAAAAGAATTTAAAATTGAATGTCAAAAATTATAGAAGAGGTTGAATATAAAATAGCTCAAAAATTTTTAGGTAAAACCACTTAGAAGAAATGAGACTGTTATGGAGATAGCCTTCCTTATTATTAAGTTTGATTTTAAGGAGGGATATAGTCTTCCACAAATCTTTTGATTCCAAATCCAGAAAAAAAAATAACTGCCTGTATCACATACATTCTTATCCTTTGTGGTAATATCTAAGTTCTTATATAATTTCACCAGTTTTCTGTTCAGATATTTAGCTGCAATCGGTTATGAGTCATGACATAAGTAAATAATATTTGGATGTGTTCCCGCCCAAAATCTCATCCTGAATTTAATCTTAATTGTAATTCCCATGTGTTAAGGGAGAGACCCATGGGAGGTGATTAGATCATGGGAGTAGTTCTCCTATCCTGTTCTCGTGATAAGTGAGTGAGTTCTCACAAGATCTGATGGGTTTATAAGGGGCTTTTCCCCCTTTTGCTCGGCACTTCTTTTTACGCCTAGTAAAGAAAGACATGTTTGCTTCCTCTTCCATCATGATTGTAAGCTTCCTGTGGCCTCCCTAGCCATGTGGAACTGTGAGTCAATTAAATCTCTCTCTTTTATAAATTACTCAGTCTTGGGCAGTTCTTTATAGCAGCAGGAAAATGGAAATGTTGCACAGTATAGAATTGCGAACATTTGACTTTTTTTACTTCAAAAGTGGCAATTTCATATGGTTTAACCAAGAATTTTCTTGAATAGATCCCTCCCTAGTTTTGAAGCAGAATCTATATACCATAGCTAATTTCCTCTTCTCTGCATTATATCCTCCAGTTAATCCACAGGGGTCCTGTGCTTTTTTGATGGCTTGATAACAGAGTTGAAGAGGTCTGAATGAGCCTACTGGTTGAAAGTAAAGAGAAAGTTGTCGACTCCTGACATCTTATTCAGTAGCTCCTGCCAAGGTTTTTGGGGCTTCTCAAAGGGGTAATCATACAGAGTCGAACTTAGAGCAGTGCTAAAATCCCATTGGTGAGTTCTTTAGGCATGTATTTTATCTCCTCTATAGTCTCTGGTAATAGAATATCTAAAACACAGTGTCCTGTAAAACAAAATGTTAAACTATCTTGTGGGAGAATCAGGCAGTTGAAAGGGTTGAGGCTTATCAAGGTAGCTAGGCAAAGACAGCAACTCCTATTGCTTTTGAAGTGCTCTTGTGGAAGCTGTGCTCAAGTCGTTTAAGAGCTGGTTTACTTTCCAAATAAACTGAGTTGCCAGCAAGAGCAATGGTGTGCTGTTCCAGGAAGGAGGGGAAGAAATGAAACTCATCAGTGATGGGGGATTTGCTGGCATTTCTGAGATCATACAAACCAAAGTGGACATTTCTTCTGGATGCTATTAGCTACTCATCCCTCCCACATGGGCCCCTTCAGTTTGCTTCCTGGAGAGGAGGCTGCTGAGAATCATTCAAGCCAGTTAAAGAAATTGCCTAAAGTAAGTATCTGAAACACAACCACATTAGTGCAAAGTGCTCAGAACACAGTAATAATCACAAAGTCCTTACTTCTTCTCTCCTTTGTACCATTCAAAGGCCGGGGGCGGCACACCTGCACCTTCGCATCTTATCAAGCCACTGCGTCCGGGGGTCACGGTGCCAGATTTAATTTCCTGAATAGTAGGAGCAACTGTAAAAGAAACAAACAAACAAATACTAGTGGATAAGTAAAAATAATCCTCAGCAGAAATATGACACACATATATTTTTATTCCTTCTACATTCAAAGCAATCTTATGCCTGATAGGCCAATGCATCACATTTTCAGTGTTTTATGCTTCAAATACAAGACTAGTCATTTTCAGCTTCATTTTTCAAGTTGAACAATAGATGAATGTTTTCAGGGCATGCAGAGTAAATGCAATATATTTTGGCCTGCTTCCTGTTGGAAAAATGGCATTGGTGAGGGTAACACTTCATCTGTACTCCAGTCCAACTCTACTTCAGTAATAGCTCTCATCTATTGAGTGATCACAGGGAGCCAGTCACTGGGTTAGGTGCTTTATGTTCTCGATTTCCTCACAAAAATACTCTAAGCTTAAGGGTATTATCTCAGTTTTACAAATGTAAGTTCATAGATGTTGAAAGAATTGTCAAGGTCACACAGCTACTTAGTTGCAGAATCTGGCATTCAAGTCAGTCATGTTAACTCAAAGTCTGGTTTCTTGAAATATTCTGTGTTTTTCCATGCCTCTTCCCTATGCTTTTATTAATTTAGTGATTTTTTTAATGTAGTTTCTTCTGTCTTAATGTTGTTGTTCTCCCTTTTCACAGATTCAAGATCTACTTTAGGTGTCAGTGTCTCCATGTTCTTCGCTATTGCTTTAGCTGGAAAAAGTTTTCCCTCCTCTGAGTATCCGGATTTCTCATACCATGGACTTTCTGTCATGTATTGGTAGAAATGTATTGTATTGTATCATGTACTATATTTATGGGTATGCCAGACTTCCTTTTCAGTTCCTTGAAGACAGGATTAAATATCTGATTCACCTTTGCATATTCCAAGATCAATACACAGTGCCTTGCACAGGGTGATGCTTAAAAAGCTAACTTTAAAAAAAAAATTTCCCATAGTTATTGAGCTGTCAACATGTGCCAGGCATTTCTCAAAGCACAAAGCAGTTAATTGCCCTGACGTGATGAAGCTTATATTCTAGGTGAAGTAACAAATGGGGAGATAGACTATAAGCAGTAAATATAGCAAATACATAGTTTAAATACATATAACAAATACATAGTAGAAGGTGATAAACAATACAGTTAAAAAATAAAACCCCTTATAGTTGCAAGGTAAGAGGAATCAGAGAAGGAAATGGATTGCATTTCAGATAGGGCAATCTTAGTAGACTTCTTCAAGATGGTAAAATTTGCACAAAGACTAGATGTGAATGAATAATTTACCTAGGTGGATATCTAGAGACAGAGCCTTGTAGGAAGAGGGAACAGCTTGCAGTAAGACACTGAGGCTGAAGCTAGCCTAGCTTGTTTAAGAAATAGCAGGATTGGTGTGGCCGACACAAAGCGAAAGAAGGAGAGAAGCAGGAAATAGGTACAAAGAGAAACAAAGGATGGAAGATTGGGTGGGACCTCTCGGGTCATTTCAAGGAACTGACTTTTATTCTAAGACAAATGAAGCCCTGCAGAGTAGAGACAAAATTTGATCAGTTTTTTGAAAAGATGACTGGCTGCTATGCTGAGAAAAGACCATAGTGAGGCTAGGATAAAAGTCACAGGAAAAAGTAGGGAATCCAGTAAGCAAAGCAAATGAAGGTGGGTGGCTCATACCAGGCTGGGTAGCAGTGGAAGTGGTGGAAAGTTATTGGGTTTGGTGTCTACTGTGAAGTTGGAGCTGATAAGATTTCTAGACGGACTGAAGGGAGATAGAGAAAAAAAGAGGAGTCAAGGGTGATTTAATTTGGCTTAAGTAGCTAGAAGGTTATTGACTGAGATGAAAAGGACTGTAAGTAGAAGAATTTTGGAGGGTGCTGGGCATGGTGGCTCAGACCTGTAATTTTAGCACTTTGGGTGGGTAGATCACCTGAGGTCAGGAGTTCAAGACCAGGCTGACCAACATGGTGAAACTTTGTCTCTACTAAAAATACAAAAATTAGCCAGATATGGTTGTGGGCACCTATAATCCCAGCTACTTGGGAGGCTGAAGCAGGAGAATCACTTTAACCTGGGAGGGTAGAGGTTGCTGTGAACTGAGACCACGCCATTGCATTCTAGCCTGGGCAACAAGAGTGAAACTCCATCTCATAATAATAATAATAATAATAATAATTATTATTATTATTACACAGGCACACACCCAATAAATAATAATAATAATGATTATTATTATTTTGAAGGTAAACATTAGGAGTTGTATGCATGTGTCTTTTCATAAATATTTCCTTTTCTACCAAGTTAACATACTATAATTCATATTTCAAACAGCACTATAGAAAATTATTCAACAACTAGAATCTTGAAGATACAAATGCTAGTTCATTCAGAAATATGGTCTAAGCGTGCACTCTGGATATATTTGGGGTTTCTTTGGAAAGCAATTAAAAAGTACAGAGTTTAATGTTTTTCAATAGTCAGTGAATATTTCAATATGTGAAAACTATAAATATTCTTACAGTGGAACACTGCTTTTCATTTAAAAAAATACCCTACTAAACACATCGTTTTCTGTTAAGGGTGATACTTCTTTTTGAAATTATTGCACCTCTATTTCTCTGTGGTGTTTTTATTCTTATTATTTATAGTTCTAGAAAAAAATTGTAAGGAAAATATTTTAGTACTTGCTAATAAGTTGGTGAAAAATAATGAAATAATATTTGCATGAGAAATGTTACAGGGTAATATAGATACATACATATACACATGCACACACCCAATTGTATATAATATGTATAAAATATATGTATGTTTTGACCTTTATAATGTACATTTATGTATATATGTAACCTTATATATACATGTTTACATATATATGTGTGTGAATGTGTGTGTGTATATATATATATACACACACATATATATGTGTATATACATATATATACATATACACACACACATATATATGTATATTCACAACCACAATACAAGAAATCATTTAATAATTTAAAAATTATTTTGTTAGACAAAGTTTCATGTCACCTATAAAAGCTAATGAAATATATTTAAAAATCTATAAGTAAAGCTCCATGTTCTTGTCAATTATTATGACACTGTTTTGCTCATGACAGGTACAGGTAAGATTGTATTTTCACTATTGTTCTCCCAGGCTTTCATCTCTCTTTCCCAGTCACACAAACAGGTTGTTAATCTTTTATGACATCTAACTATTATTGAAGATAAAATAACCATATGCAACAGGAGACCATCACAAGCTTCTATTGATAACCTGGTTAGTTCAATTACTCTCTTGTTTGTCAAGGGGACCATGACTCATTATGGACAAAAGCATGAAATCCGGAACATTGCCTGAAAACCCAAGCGTAATGAGCTGAAATCAAAATCGAATTCATCATTAAAAGGTTTTTATGCAGTACAGTGCACATATGGCTCAGCACTGGGTGTCTTACCACACAAGTTAAAGGGACATGATCCTGTTATCTAGGGCTTCCTGGGCTGCTAGGACAAACACTGAAAATGGGAAGATACTTAAATTGTCACATGGAAATATGGATAAGAATCAATAAAAATTAGTAACATTAATAATATGCCTAAGAAAAAGTCCTAAGAGCATTTTGCAAGGTACAGAGTTAAGAGTCCAAGTGTTGTAGAGTAATCAATATAGAGAGAAGACTCCCATGCAGATGTGGCTAAAATTATAAACTTGAACCGAAAGCCTTTATTGATTTTACTTAGAGACATAAAAATTCTTATTACATATTCATATTATTGTGCATCTTTTGGAAATAACTTGTTTAAAAAGAAAAGGATTCATCCATTTATTTATTCTTTTTTTTTTCCCTTTTATTTATTTTATTGCATTTTACGTTTTGGGGTACATGTGAAGAACATGCAAAATTGTTGCATAGGAACACATGTGGCAGTATGATTTGCTGCCTTCCTCCCCATCACCTACATCTGGCATTTCTCCCCTTGCTATCTCTCCCCAGCTTCCCACCCCCCACCGTCCCTCCCCTATTTCCCCCCAACTGACCCCAGTGTGTAGTGCTCCCCTCCCTGTGTCCATGTGTTCTCATTGTTCAACACCCACCTATGAGTGAGAACATGCGGTGTTTGATCTTCTGGTCTTCTGTCAGTTTGCTGAGAATGATGGTTTCCAGGTTCATCCATGTCCCTACAAAGGACCCAAACTCATCGTTTTTGATGGCTGCATAATATTCCATGGTGTATATGTGCCACATTTTCCCTATCCAGTCTATCGTCGATGGGCATTTGGGTTGGTTCCAGGTCTTTGCTATTGTAAACAGTGCTGCAATGAACATTCGTGTACACGTGTCCTTATAGTAGAGCGATTTGTAATCCTTTGGATATATACCCAGTAATAGGATTGCTGGGTCAAATGGAATTTCTATTTCTAGGTCCTTGAGGAATCGCCACACTGTCTTCCACAATGGTTGCACTAATTTACACTCCCACCAACAGTGCAAAAGTGTTCCTATTTCTCCACATCCTCTCCAGCATCTGTTGTCTCCAGATTTTTTAATGATCGCCATTCTAACCGGTGTGAGATGGTATCTCAGTGTAGTTTTGATTTGCATTTCTCTGATGACCAGTGATGATGAGCATTTTTTCATATGTTTGTTGGCCTCACGTATGTCTTCTTTTGAGAAGTGTCTGTTCATATCCTTTGCCCACTTTTGAATGGGCTTGTTAGTTTTTTTCTTGTAAATCTGCTTTAGTTCTTTGTAAATTATGGATATCAGCCCTTTGTCAGATAGGTAAACTGCAAAAATTTTTTCCCAATCTGTTGGTTGCCGATTCACTCTAATGATTGTTTCTTTTGCTGTGCAGAAGCTGTGGAGTTTGATTAGGTCCCATTTGTCTATTTTGGCTTTTGTTGTCAATGCGTTTGGCGTTTTGGTCATGAAGTCCTTGCCTACACCTACGTCCTGAATGGTTTTGCCTAGATTTTCTTCTAGGGTTTTTATGGTGTTAGGTCTT